GCTTTTCACTCAGCCTCAGAATCTGAGCCGACCTGTGACAATGAGACTGTCACAGGTCGGCTCAGTAGATCGGGAGGTGAGAGAACACATACCGGCATTCGCTCACCTCTCGATCTTGTCACGGCAGAGAGCTGTGACAGGGAAGGGGCTGGATTTCCCCACCTCCCCGCTCCGATCCTCCAGCGCTGACTGGCAGGACGGACGGGGGAGGGGGCGGGGCAGAGCCAGCTGTCAGTCACGCAGCTGGGCGGATCCAGACATAATTGTCGTGATCCGTCCCGGCTGCGGCGTCTCAGTATACCGCGAGCTGTAGCTCCCTATATACTGAGCTTAGGGTGACGAGAGGACACTAGTTTGTGTCCTCCCGTTACCCTAAGGAGAACTACGGGGACAAGCCCTGACCCCATAGTTCTCCTTTAACTGATGTCATGAGCAGATCAAAGGTCACGCCTTTGATTTGACTTCCGAACAAAACACTAAATACAATGAAACGATACATTGTATTTACTCAATGGCATTTTGTCTGCAAGTGTCATTTTATACGGGAGCGGCTACACTTTGAAAGCAATTGTAATACAAACCAATTACCGGCTGTCATTTTGACAGCCGGGAATAGCGGTGCAGGGAGAGAGTTTATGGACGTAAGAAAGACTTCCTACAAACTTTGCTGACATACTTTATCTCTTATGTTCAGATTCCTCAAGCGGTCCAAATACACGGAAAGATTTTTAAAGAAATAAATGATTATTTTGTTGTCTGTCAGGAAATGGATTCAGTGCAGCAAAGATCTGCAAAATAACAAACCTTCATCTAAGCTTCATAGCCGGCGGTATTCTTATCTCTTGCAGGCTGTCAGGCACAACCTCTGGACTTGGTCTTCCTCTTGGATGCCTCCTCTGGTATTGGACAAGAAAACTTTAATCGTCTGCTGAACTTTGTGACGATGGTTTCCCTTCAGTTTGATATAAATCGGGACGTCACCCAGGTGGGACTCGTCACCTATAGTAACCAGCCGGAGACCGTCTTCAGTCTGGACGCTCACGAATCGGTGTCGGGCCTCATCAGTGCCATTAACAGGGCGCCCTACCTGGGGGGTTCCCCTTCCACCGGGAACGCTCTCCTACACATCCACAATGACGTCATGTCCATCCAGAAGGGTGCCCGGCCTGGGGTGAAGAAGGCTGTGATCGTGCTGAGCGATGGGCGCGGAGGAGCGGAAGATGCCGCAGTTCCTGCGCAAAGGTTGCGGGATGACGGGATTTCAGTCTTTGCTGTGGGAATCGGGAGGATCCAAAGGAATGCGCTGCTGAGGATAGCCGGATCGGAGAGGTTCCTCACTCATGTACCGAGCTACAATGTACTCGGCCAGTACGAGGATGACATTGTACAGCGGGTGTGTGAAGGTGAAGTACTCATTATACTTCCTTAAAGTGTAACTCCAACCAGAACATATTTGGTATATGGGGTGTGAAGGTAGAACCGCCGTACGGTATATTACATGTTGTCTGTGTTCTGTTTCGGGATGCACCAATAGCGGTGGTTCCATTGGCATGGGGCCGGCTTCCCGGCAATCTGTAAGCCGGGAGGCGGGTAATGACATGCCTCCCGGCTTCCCGATTGCCCGGGAAGCCACCTCCATGTTGTCTGGCCGGCTCCATACTGATTGGCCGGGAAGCCGGCTTCTCAGCCAATCAGTAAGGAGCTTCTCAGCCAATTAGTGTTCGGCCGGTTTGATGCTGATTGGGCGGGAAGCCGGCTCCATGTTCCCATACCGCACTGCCGGTCAGAGGAAATCTTCCTTCGACCCGAAGTTCCGGTATCGGGGGAGATATCCGAGCATTTGGGAGAGTACGAGTGCTTGCCCAAATATTCGGTATCGGCACCAATACCGATACTGGTATCGGTGCATCCCTAGTTCTGTTGGAAGAGTTCACTTCCTGTCCTGGGGACCCCCAAATTAAATAAGTGGAAATCTTTCCATAGAGAGGTAAATTCCCTTTTCCTTCACCTTCTGTCCCAGCCATTATCTGCCTGTATTGCACAGAGAAGCACAAAGACCCAATGATGATCATGGTTGGTGGGAGGGGCCAGCAGAGTGCTTCCTGAAAAACATCACAGCACCTGGCCTCAATGCTACTCCCAAGAGCCCTCAGCCCTGGGGTAAGCAGTGGGTGGGCTCTTGGGAGGAGTTATGCAAATATCAAAATGCCTTGATGGGTGGATGTCAGTCTGGAGAAGTGGGTGTTCCTAGGCAACCCTCGGTAACGCCCAAATGTGAGGAGGGAACAAATGTACACATTAGGGTTTTGGGTCGATGTGTTTAATATATTTTTTAATGATATTGCATCTTTTGGTTATATGTGCAGAATATTGTAACCAATGTGCAAAGCTGGGGGGTGCAAGTAGTCCCCATTGCCGTCCCTCGCTCCTGCTTGTACATCCTCTCATTAAAAGAGAAATAATTGGGCTTTAAGACAATAAAATAATATCAATAACAACAAAATAATAATTTTTAATTAAAGAACTCCATCCGAATTATTCCGAAACAAAAATTTCAATCCATCTGAATAACAAACTGAATTTTGGATCCGAAATCCAAAAACAAAAAAATTGCCAGCTGAGGTGCTTTTTTTGTTATTTATTGCCAGAAACATTCGGAGTTTGTTGGATTTTTTCAAATTTGTACTAAATAATTATTTCCTTTTCAGCAATGGGGTCCCTCTGCGTCCCCCTCCTTTGTAAATGTTCTTGGATGGTGGGACTCGGATTTTGGATGATGCAATGTACGGGGCCCGTGTATCACTGTGGTTTCCTTTTATCGATGATGTTTCTATTTTATGGGACGGTTCCAAGGAAATGTTTGAAGCAATTTGTAATCTATATCGGAATGATTTTTACCAGGGATGCACCGATACCAAGGACCGTGCTCGGTCCAAGAACAGATACTATTCCATGTCCAGGACTAGACTAGAGAAAAATTCAGAATTTAGGAGGCGGCTGTCATGTGTAAGGAGCACACGGAGCTCACGGGATTTGTACATCTCTATTTTATTGTATGATCTTGTTTTTATAAATATAAATAAAGGGATACACCGATACCAGTTTTGCAAGTACGAGTACTGATAAATTTTTCTTTATTGTCATGTGACAGTTTTTCTAAAACAATACAGACTAATGATATCAGGACAGTGGTGGAGCGCCAGAGCCCGGTGCCAGCTTCAACCGCTGCAACCCCGGGAGTTCTCCTGAAAATGCCAAGTATCGGCACTGGTACCGGCAAAGTATCGGCACTGGTACCGGCAAAGTATCGGCACTGGTACCGGCAAAGTATCGGCACTGGTACCGGCAAAGTATCGGCGCATACCTAGTTTTTACATTTAAGTAGAAACATTTTTTTGACCTGACCATTGATAGAGATTCAAATAGAATTTGACAAACAAAGTATACAGGAAGCCAACATCACCTAACACCGAATTATATTACAGATCACTCCCATGACGAAGGATCCGCAGAGGCCGGCCGGATTATTTAACTCATTCTGCTTTTCTGTTTCTTCAGAGGCAAAATCCAAAGAGAGTCCGTGTAAACCCAACCCGTGTATGAACGGAGGAGTCTGCATCCTGCGACACAACAGCTACTACTGCCAGTGCCACGGATGGGACGGACCGCACTGCGAGAACCGTAAGTATCGCTCCTGGTGAGGCTACAGAATCACTGGCAAGTGTTAGATTGGTGAAGAGGCTAAACTAAGCCACGGGGTCCGGAAGCAAAATGTAATCGTGACCCTAAATTTTTTGGATTGGTGTTGGAAGTAAAAACAAGGAGTGCACGATGAGAAGAAAATTCCAGAACCTTCCTTCATCTGCATGGCAGAACAATAAGAGATATGGGCCCCCGGACACTCTATACAGATCTTGACTTCTGGAAAAGTCGAGCTCGGCCCTCCCACCTCCCAAGCCTCTCCGCTGTTGCTTAAACCTGATGGGCAGCCCGAGGGACAGGGCAGGGGCAAACGAAACTGGCTGATTTACAGGTCGGTGTGACTCTAAATAGAGTCATGCATTAAGGCCATCTGTTCTGGATTTGCAGGGACGGTCTTAGGCCCTGACGATGATGTGTCCTTCGCTTGTCCTGGGGTCACCTAATTCAAGTTTCTGCACACTCACAGAAACTCACAAAAGTCATCAACTGTGGGGGTTAGGGCCGCAATTGGGTGGGCCAAGCATATGTGGAGATGATGTCTAGGTGGGACCATCTTATAAATTGGTTGAGATAGGCGGTCCATGCAAATTTAGAGGTGGCGTCCAGGAGGGAACCAGCCCAGAAAGTGGACCTTATGGATGGTCCCCATATATTTAGAGATGGTGTGTGGGTGGGACCAACCCAGAAAGTAGGCAATATGGATGCTCGCCACATATTTAAAGGTAGCATCCTGGAGGGGCCCAACCCAGAAAGTAGGCATTATAGATGGTCCCTACGTGTTATTTAAAGGTAGCATCCTGTAGGGGGCCAACCCAGAGAGTAGGCAATATGGATGGTCCCCACATATTTAAAGGTAGCATCCTGAAGGGGCCAATCCAGAAAGTGGACATGATTTGGGTGCACCCAACTGGAAAGTGGGAGAACGAACTGTGGACCATGGGCAGGATTCGGAACCGCAATGGTGGTAAGTGTGCCTCATCGAAAGTGAAGGGTGGTATGTGGACTATTGTGAACACTTTCAGGTATACATCTGACAGCAGAAAATGAACCTGAATAATTTCTGAATTTCTTTTCAGGAATAGTTAGAGGGGACAGCGCCTGGCCGCTGCCGCTGACCAAGATTCGGCATCAAAGGCACTCCTCCGCGTCACACCACCAATTCAAACCCCAGTCCAGCAGAAAGTCTTTGGGGAGGACACATTAATTGAACTGGATGTAAAGCTCGGAGGACTGTCCTGTCCGAGCTATCGGGGGTGGGGCACGCCGCAGCCAGATCTACGTTTTCACAGCCCCGCGAGGTATCCTGTGGGCAGAATCAAGCCGGATGTAATGCTGCTGAGCAACCATAGGGGGCAGCAAAACCAACATTCACTTTTTACCTCTGTCTTCAATGAAAGAAAGAATTAGAATATCCTTTTTTTTAAAAAAGAAAATATCCCCCCTACCAACTTCTGAGGAATGTTTAGTTTATAAAATCAGTTGTATATAAATCTCTCCATCACCGCCTCCCATATCCCTTTAAATGCAAACAATGTTGTCTGTATAATAGAGGAGGACCTCTGATGTCATTGGTTGCTAGGATGCCAGCGGCCCTAGCAACCAAGGCCCAAAGAGAAACATGTTCCGACCAATAACTGATCGCCAACCTGTGCTGGGCTATGGCTTGCAGTGGAGTCACCAGCCTTGGGGGCCATTGCAGCCGCTATCAACCAGCCATAACTGAGTGCAGGGCGGGGGGGCCGGACAGCTGCAGACTAAGGGTCAGATACGGCCCATGGGCCAAAAAAAAGCCCAGGTCTGATTGAAAGGGTTATGGGAGACGGTGATGGAGCAATTTGTATACAAATGATTTTATAAATACATATTCTTCACATCTGCATAGGAGTATATTGTTCGTGGTGTCTGTGTGCGCCATTTCTGGTTTCTGCTTTGATCAGATTGGTTTAATACTGACGCCTGCCCGAAATAGTGGGTCTGATCCCTAATAATCCAGCAAACCTCTTTACTTTCCAGGAAGCTTGGCCTCCCTGAACTTCCTGTCCAGTACAAGATCATAATGGGGGGGGGAGAGCAGACACCAGGACCTGTCCATCTACTAGCATGGAAAAGGGGGGGAGGAGCATTATATCTTTTCGTTGCATACTATTTGTAGGATCTATTTAATGTAAACATTTGTTTTTCTTTTTATATTGTATTTATGACGTCATTTGTAGAAGTATAAATGTATCTACAGATGTAAAATGTATTTGTATATTTGTTTATAAGGAGTGTAAAGTTTTTTTTCTAAGATGGTAAAGTGTCTGGGTGGTGTCATTTATAGTTACACGTGATGCAGATTGTGCAAAAATGGAACTGGAGTGTCAGGAACCGCTTCTCTCCTGACTCATCTCTGTACTCCATGCTCTCAAGTCTTGTCAGCCATCACTTGTCTCCTCCATCCTCCCTTATCCCTGTCCTCCTTCACCTGCTTCCTGGTTTTTAGGGTCTCCGTCCTCTCGCCTTTGTCTTTCCTCCTCTGCTCCCTCCATTCTCTCATGTTTCTGTTCCCCTCATCTCTGCCATTCTTCTTGTGTTCTCCCAAGCGTCCATTCTCTCATCTCTGTCCTTCACAAGTCCCCTATGTTCTCTCATGTCTTTGTCCTCCCTCAGCTACCACCTTGGTTCTTCCCCAATATCTGTCTTGCTTCACCAGCCCCCTCTGCTCTTTCATCTCTTTCCTACCTAATCTCTGTCCTTCCTTACCTCTAACCTTGGTTCCTCCCTCATCATTGTTCTTCCTCCTCTGTCCGCCGCCTTCTCTGTTCTTTCTCACCAGCCCCCTCTGTTCTCTCATGTCTCTCTCCTACCTAATCTCTGTCCTTCCTCACCTACAACCTTGGTTCCTCCCTCATCGTTGTGCTTCCTCACCTACCTTCTCTGTTCTCTCAGGTCTTTGTCCTTCCTTAATCTGTCATCTCCGTTCTCTCATCTCTTTCCTCCCTCTTCCATTGACTCAAGTTATTGCGCAAGGGACGGCATATTTTAGGACGGTCATTGGAAGTGTCTCTGGTCAGAGAGCTGTCTCAGTGATGGAGTTTTATTTCTGCTCCTCCTGGAGATTCTACTGGAAGCCGCTCAAGAAAATGATGACAACTTTGGTTTTTCACTGCAAAGAAAAAAACAAAAACAAAACTCCTCCCTGATTTATAGACATATATTGAATTTTTATAAAATACTGTCAAATACTTTGTGAACACAAACGTCTCCTGACATGGATCCTCAGTCCTGGACAATGTCTATGATTGGTGTGTCCTATGTGAAGAATTATGGAGCACAGTGTGCCGCTTCTCCTCTCTATGTCTTATGTAGAGTCTCTGCCGTATCTTCTCCACCATTGTCCACCTCATGTAGAGTCTGTGCCGTATCTTCTCCACCTCATGTAGAGTCTACCATTGTCCGTCTCACGTAGAGTCTGTGCCGTATCTTCTCCACCATATGTAGAGTCTGTGTTGTATCTTCTCCACCATTGTCCACCTCATGTAGAGTCTGTGTTGTATCTTCTCTACCTCATGTAGAGTCTACCATTGTCCACCTCACGTAGAGTCTGTGTTGTATCTTCTCCACCATTGTCCACCTCATGTAGAGTCTGTGTTGTATCTTCTCTACCTCATGTACCCCATAGTTCTCCTCAGGGTAACGGGAGGCTGTGTTGAATCCGCTCCACAAGTTTTGGTTTTGGCTGATTTGTACACATTGTATAAAACAAAGCCGTTTTTCATTAACTTACAAGTATGATCTATGAGGTTTCTTCCGATAGCCTCGCACTGCGGTCTTTCACCGGCTGCCTCCACCACGGCTCCATAGCACATTAAGGTCAGTCCATCTTATTCATGAAAAGACTTCTCATTGTTATATATCATAAAGTCGCGTGTGTAGGACACTTTGTATTAAAATAGATGATAAAATGTGAGTTAATTGGCAAAATAAAATGACAGAAGGAATTTTGCTGGCTTCCGTGTTGGTAGGTGAACCGGATTCGCTGGCGTGGTAAAATCTTATAAAAATTTCCACCATGTTTCATGAACGTATTGCTCTGTCGTAAAAATACATTCCGGGTGCCCGAGGGCCCGGGCATGGACTAAATGTGCTAAAACAGTGGCAGTCATCCACTACATACACCACTCTGGGGCCCCAGTCAGTCTTCCCATGGTGTGGGGGCGAGTGGCATATGTCTTGGCTTTGGTCCCTTGGAGCACCACTATGTGCAAAGTAAAAAAAAAATGAGGTCCCCCCCTCACTGGAGGATGTTCTTCACCACAATGTGACAAGTCTCTGACATCCCATAAATTAAATGTCAATCAGACACAAGGGTCTCAGTCCATTTAGAAGATGATGTTGTAGTTCTAGCTGGCTCCTTTCTTCTCCCATTCCTAAAAAGAAGAAAGAAATAAGTCACGCCTAAGCCGTTTCTGAAGCAAGGGTGGTGAGGTTGATGGAGGAAACATTTGTATCTATAATACGGGTTGATTCAGAGAGATCAATGATGGTAACAGAATTCTACTTTTTAGGACTACAGGAAGTCCCCGGGTTACGAACAAGATAGGGATTGGAGGTTTGTTCTTAAAGGAGAACTATGGGGTCAGTGTTTTTCCCCATAGTTCTCCTCAGGGTAACGGGAGGACACAAACTAGCGTCCTCCCATCACCCAAAGCTCAGTATATAGGGAGCTACAGCTCGCGGTATACTGAGACTCCGCAGCCAGTGCGGATCCCGACGTCGAGATCTGCCCAGCTGCGTGAGTGACAGCTGGCTCTGCCTATCTAGAGGCTGTACCCGCCCCCTCCCCGTCCGTTCCTCTAGTCAGCGCTGGCAGATCGGAGTGGGGAGGGGGGAATCCAGCCCCTCCCCTGTCACGGCAGAGAGCTGTGACAGGATCGAGAAGTGAGCGAACGCCGGTATGTGTTCGCTCACTTCCCAATCTACTGAGCCGACCTGTGACAGTTTCATTGTCACAGGTCGGCTAGAACGATGAGGTGAGTGGAAATCACCTCCCCCCCTCCCCCCCTCATAGTTCTCCTTTAAGTTGAATTTGTATGTAAGTTGCGACAGGTAAATTTTTTAAGTGCAACTCCAGCCAAAAACATGTTTATTTAGTTTTGGATAGCATAGGGAAGGGTGTACCCCCCTGTAAAGTTTGCGTTGCTGTGTGTGCTCCCCTGTTCAGAAGATTTCACCTCACTTCCTGTCCCTGTGACAATTGGATTTTGAACATTTTGGGTTGTCGTGGAAACAAGGATTGGTGATAAAGCTTTCAGTGGAGACAACTTTTTTCCCCCATGATCACTCTTACAGGAGTGAATTTCCCTTCCTAGGGGTAGATTTCCTCTCACTTCCTGTTGTCTCAAGGACAGGAAGTGAGATTAAATCTTTCTAATGAGGATACAGACGGCAGTAAAAACCTCACAGTGACCCGGGAAAAAGAGGCGGGCACCCCTCGTCGGCACGTCTAACGAGCCAACTTCCTGTAATGTACGTACAAGTACTACAAACCAGACCCAAAGAGGCGGGCGCTCCTCTTCAGCACGAGCGCGCTACCATTACAACTACCCCCGCTGCACAGTAATAGCCCCCGTATGTAAGTCGTGTGTATGTAACCCGGGGACTGCCTGTATACTTCTTCTAAATGGGGCAATGGTACTTTGTATACAATGGTCCAAGTACCGTCCAAAGCTGTGAAGAACGGAAACCAGCACCCTCCATGAAAGTCCGGCATCAAAAGGCCATTTGTTGTACTCAGCCTTCAATCCTGGACAGACGGCCTGCTCCGTTCTCCATGAATTGAGACTTTGACGGAGCGCCCCGTGTGAGGTGAAAGGTGGCAGATGCAGGAGAGTGAAGTGGGTTGTCTGCCCAGGATTGGAACCAGAGTCCAATAAATGGACGTCTGCAGATGGTTCTCACTGAACTCTGTAACTGCAGGCACTGTGGGGAAGCTCATCATCAACATTCAAAGGCACTGAAATCGCAGCTCTTCTCCCTTTATGAGCCGGTCCACACAATACTGTTGTGATAACAGACGGCAATGCATGTCAAGTGTGACGTGGTGCCATTCATTCTCAATAGCACCCGAATGCGCCTGCCAACAGACGTGCGGCAATGCAGTAAGGTGTGCTGCGCTGCTAAGAATCTTCATCAGTGAGATGCGTTGGGGTGCCGTTCAGATAAATGAATAGCACCACAATTTACAAACGCACGTAATGCTGCATGTTCTTATGAATTGCGTGTTACAGCAACAACATGGTGTGAATGGACTGATTTACTTCTCACTCAGCAGCCCGCCAGCCTTCTAATGTAAACGCACAGCAGGTGCTCCCGGCTGTTCAGAAACCAGCTACAACCCAACTTCAGGACTAGTTCACACCAGCCTCAGTGCGTTCCGGACCAATTGTTGTTTTTTTTGCAAGCACTATTTTTTCTGACCGGAACACGGGCATTGATGTTCCACGGGCCAATCGCACTGCGGCCGGAGGTCGTGGCTGCGATGACATCGAGTACAATGCACCGCCACGCCCCCCCCTCCAGCCCCAATACAAAGTGTGCCGGCCGGAATGCAATCCAGTAAGTTCCGGCCAGAATTGGGCCGAAACGCATTAAGGCTGGTTGTGATCTTTGAGGCTGAATTGATCCATGGTGCCCGCAGCTACAGAAGCCATGGAGGGTTTGTGTCAAAGATCTCTTGCTGCTCGTTTAGAATATGCAAATATTTCAATGTTTATAACCCGGACGCAGGTACGCTTTAAGCGCAGCTTGGGGAATGCAGCTCTGCTGTTTTCATATTGGATTACTGCACTTTGTGCCACATTATAACTCCACGCATTGCGTCTGTGAAGGTTCTCAGTCATCCAGGTCACATGGTATGTCTGTAAAAAGTAAATCAAGGCGACTGGACTCGCTGTATTTCTCTTGAAGACGTTTCACTGATCATCCGACCGGCTTTCTCCATTCCCGTACCCCCATAGAGAACCGATATCCATGCATTGCCTTCCCGTACCCCCCATAGAGAACCAATATCCATGCATTGCCTTCCCGTACCCCCCATTAGAGAACCGATATCCATGCATTGCCTTCCCGTACCCCTATAAAGAACCGATATCCATGCATTGCCTTCCCATACCCCCATAGAGAACCGATATCCATGCATTGCCTTCCAGTACCCCCATAAAGAACCGATATCCATGCATTGCCTTCTCATACGCCCATACAGAACCGATATCCATGCATTGCCTTCCCATACCCCCATAGAGAACCGATATCCATGCATTGCCTTCCCATACAGAACCGATATCCATGCATTGCCTTCCCGTACTCCCATAAAAGAACCGATATCCATGCATTGCCTTCCCATACCCCCATACAGAACCGATATCCATGCATTGCCTTCCCGTACCCCCATAAAAAAACCGATATCCATGCATTGCCTTCCCGTACCCCCATAGAGAACCGATATCCATGCATTGCCTTCCCGTACCCCCATAGAGAACCGATATCCATGCATTGCCTTCCCGTACCCCCATAGAAAATGATTATCATGACCCAGTTTATTCAAGACAAAGGATGGCACAGTCTCTAAGCACCAACTGGGTAAGAAACCACTGTTGGGCTTCGCAAGGGGCGGCATCGGGGGGTTGGAGGCGGGGGCGGGGGTAGAAACACAGACAAATAATAACAAAATTGTCTCTGCATAGAGTAAGGGTATAAGCTTATCACGCAGTCGCCAGTATTACCCCCTCAGTCAAGTCACAGAGTATATTGTGGAGGGTCTCAGTGGAGTGACAATGGGTTTAAAGGAGAACTATGGGGGGTCAGTGTTTTTCCCTATAGTTCTCCTTAGGGTAACGGGAGGACACAAACTAGCGTCCTCCGGTCACCCTAGGCTCCGCCCAGCTGCGTGAGTGACAGCTGGCTCTGCCTATCTAGAGGCAGAGCCAGCTGTACCCGCCCCCTATGTTATAATTACCTTGGCCTTCTGTAGGACGGTTCCTTTGCCAGTGGTCATAATGGACAACGGTCGGGCTTTGAGCGCCATTGCGGAATTTACTGGCGAGGATTCGGAGGTGTGGCCCGGGCTGTTACATTTAACCTGGAAAATAATAAATTAGTGAGAAAACGCTACAAATCGAAGCAGAAGTCGGTCCCTGTGTCCGTACTGGATGTATAGAGAGCAAAATTCATCTCTCGACTTCCCATCCCTCATCCAGAACACTTGGACGCATTTACTTTATTACACAGCTACCACCATTGTTACTGGGGGGGGGGAGCTCACGGTCAGGAAATGAGGTGGACAAATCTAATCTCAGATATAATCTGGTTTTCACCATGAGCCCTCTGTGGTTGTCAGGTTATAGGAGCCCCGACTGCAGCCTCAGACACCACCAAATATAATGCTTAGTATATTTTATAGTATAGAAGACTGTGGACATGCTGCAGGAGATGGTCAGAGACTGCGGACATGCTACAGGAGATGGTCAGAGACTGCAGACATGCTACAGGAGATGGCCAGAGACTGCGGACACTGTTGGCGCTCTATAAATCCTGTGTGGACATGCTGCAGGAGATGAATGGTCAGAGACTGTGGACATGCTGCAGGAGATGGTCAGAGACTGTGGACATGCTGCAGGAGATGGTCAGAGACTGTGGACATGCTGCAGGAGATGGTCAGAGACTGTGGACATGCTGCAGGAGATGGTCAGAGACTGTGGACATGCTGCAGGAGATGGTCAGAGACTGTGGACATGCTGCAGGAGATGGTCAGAGACTGTGGACATGCTGCAGGAGATGGTCAGAGACTGTGGACATGCTGCAGGAGATGATCAGGTTAAGAGTTCCAACCCTTCAGCATTTACCAACAAGGCCCACAGGAACTTCAGGAAGAACTCTGGGGTACCATAGACCCCTAGTAGAGGATGACTGGTCTATACCCCTGGACCTTGGATAGAATCCTTCTACCAATGATGAGGTCAGGAAGAGATTTTCTATCTCGCAGGCTGTAGGGATGAATGGCGGGTTCATTTTTGGGTTTTATCTCTTTGTAGGCCACCACCGCCTCCAGGAAAAAGAACAGACTATTACCTTTATACTTACTGACTGACTGCTGTCCAGGTGGGCCGGGTCGACCGCAGTGCCCAGAGTAACGGGCCCCGACTCGGCCTTTCTGAGATTCTCCTTCACGTCTACAATCTGAAGCTCCAGGTCCACCCGCTGGTTCTCCCGCTGCTTGCACTCCTCCTCCTTACTCTTCAGCTTCTCCTCCAGGCTGGTTAGCGCACTCTTGTCTGTCAGGGAGACATATTGTACCTGTCAGATCGACCCAATGTCATGTCTCAATCAACCTCCCTCGGAGCTCCACTCCATCTCAATCGTATCAGAAGGAACAAGAGATACAATGTAACAATTCCAGAAAATGCTGAAGAGATTAGATGTAAATGTCCTCCTCACCATCTTGTCTTGTGATTGTAATGTCTCCCTTATATTGTACAGCGCTGCGCACACTGTTGGCGCTCTATAAATCCTGTATAATAATAATGTAACCATTGATACTATATCCCGGTAGCAGCAATGGTTACATATCCACGCTGATTCCCTCCAGCGGTCTCTAGAATTGTTACATTGTATCTCTCATTACGAAGCTGCACTTCTATCCCATGATCCTCGGCTCCATCTAGTGGCCATAATGCAATATTTTGGGCCCTTAGATGAAGCGCACGGGCCCGCCTGACCCGGGATACAGATGAATTGGATTATTTGGGGGTGATGAACAATGATATAAATCTATTTATCAGCCTTTGCTACATGTTATTAGTTTCATATACAGGAATGTGACAGTAGAGATACGCTACCGCTGCAGTTGGCGATGCTCTCCTTGAGTTCCCGCCTTTCTTTTCGGAGCTGGGCCAGCTGCACACGAATCTCCTCCCTCTCTTTCTCCAGCTTCTCCTTCACCTCCGTGAAGCGCCTGGCTTCCGCCTCCGTGCGGTTCTTGCCAAATTTAGTCTCAATGGCGTCTGTGTAGCGAAGAAATCGCATGTAAATATTCTGCACGATCCCAGAACATACAATAAAACATACATGTTCCCTGTGGAATGAAACCAATAACCATCGCGCCCCCACCCCCACCCCCCCCCCCCATTCAGTTCATTTACATTGTTTGCCGTCCTATGCCCTGATGAAGGGGCATTTATAGACCCCCCACAATGTGTTGGTTCCTCTTCTGATCTCCTGCCTGACCCTATGCCGGAATAAAATTGTATCTGGACCATTAATCTGTCATCTCAGATCTACTATTTTGCACCAATTAAATTGTGGGAAGAAGCAGACAACCCATACTGACACCATTATAATGCTACTGTATAGCAATACCAATAGGACAACCCCGGCTCCAGCACTTTATTACTTCCCAAAGGGTAATATTACTGCGTGTGTGTGACTTCCTGTTCTGGAGTCTGACTCTCCCCTCACATCCTGTTCTGGGGTCACAGGGATAAGAAGTGAGGTGAAAATCCCAAATGGGGTCACAGACAGCAAAACAACAGTGACGTATTGATTCGTTCATCCTGAGTCTGTGCAGCAGGAAAGTTTGCTGGAGATGGAAGACGAGTAAATCGTTCTCAGCAACAAGTGGAGCAATTTTGTGTAAAAGATACAAATGATTTCAGTTTGTAGTATTGGAATAGCGATCACGTGTGTTCGGATGCGGTAACACCGTCCCTCTCTGTGATGGGAACGCGGCTCACCGTGATTGGTCGGTTTTCCTTTCTCCATCTTGTTTTTCCCGAGCAGCGGACTGGCCGTCACGCCGCTCTCGGCTTTCACCTGCAGGCCGGGAGTCGTCTCCTCTGCACTCGGCTCGGTTTCCTGCAGCACAAAAAACGCAGCGTGAGCGCACCGCCAACACCGAGCAAAGGTGCAGACGGGTCTATTCATGTGTAATCTGCAGAGCCACTCGCCCCCCAAATCTCTGCGAACGTTCCTTCTGTGCAAATAGAAATACTGGGGGATGTTCCTGGTATGGTGGGGTATAAATACTGGGGGATGCTCCTGGTATGGTGGGGTATAAATACTGGGGTATGTTCCTGGCATGAATACCGGGGTATGTTCCTGGTATGGTAGTGTTATAAATTCTGGTTCACATTGACAAGTGAATGTTCATCAGGATACACAGAGGGTGAATCTCCGCAGAGCCTCTAACCCTTCTCCCCCCTCAGGGAAAGTTGTGGCTACAGACGGGTTCCTGAGGAAGCCTCTTTGATGAGCCGACAAATGTCTTCAACAATACAGAACGGGTCCAGTTGTATGTGGCCCAAGTACTACGAGATAGACCAGGCCCGGGACCGATGAGAACCTCCCCTACGCGCCGGGCCCCTCACCTCTCGGACCGGACGCGGCGGTTCTGGGTCACTAGACATGGCGGCCTCTGCTTCCTCGTCTCTCGTTTTGGCGATTTCCGGCCCCGGAGAGCTCGGCGGGCCTTTATCGGGACATTTCTTCGGAGCACCGTGCAGGAAGGACCGTGCCGGAAGCAGATCCAGGTAGGTGTGGTCTTCTACTTCCTTTCGCGCCTCGGTTTTAGGCTCCTCCTCCTGCGTTCACAGACGGCAGAAAAGTGGATGAAATTGTGGGGTTAGGAAATGTTTGGAGCTCGTAGTACAGTGGGGCGGGCAACCCCGGCACTGCAGCTGTTGTGGAACTACAAGTCCCATGAGGCATTGCAAGACTCTGACAGCCACAGGCGTGACTCTCAGAGGCAGAGGCATGGTGGGATTTGTAGTGTCACCAAGCGATTTCCGGCCCCGGAGAGCTCGGCGGGCCTTTATCGGGACATTTCTTCGGAGCACCGTGCAGGAAGGACCGTGCCGGAAGCAGATCCAGGTAGGTGTGGTCTTCTACTTCCTTTCGCGCCTCGGTTTTAGGCTCCTCCTCCTGCGTTCACAGACGGCAGAAAAGTGGATGAAATTGTGGGGTTAGGAAATGTTTGGAGCTCGTAGTACAGTGGGGCGGGCAACCCCGGCACTGCAGCTGTTGTGGAACTACAAGTCCCATGAGGCATTGCAAGACTCTGACAGCCACAGGCGTGACTCTCAGAGGCAGAGGCATGGTGGGATTTGTAGTGTCACCACAGCTGGAGTGCCCAGGTTGCCCGCCCCTGTAGTATGAAGCCACGTGGAGTATGTCAGAGTTGTTCTTTCATAGAATTTAATACAGAGACCGGAGACACAGGATGGGTCCATCTCGGGGGTGGCAAGGGGCGGGACTAACCTCCCGGACCTTTTATAACTTGACTCACCACTGCATCTGACATGTCGACATCATCATAGAGATCGTCTTGCTGGCTCCTCCCACCGCGCGGGTTGTCAATATAGGTGTTGGGCTCAGAATATTTCCTTTGCATTAAACTGAAAAGGTGATAAAAGGAAGTTGGTTACAGATTTGCATTTGTCGGATCGGTTCCATCAGAATCACAGAACGGCCCGTTACAGGAAGCCGATCCTGAGCAACTTCCTGGCTGTTGCATTGATCCAGTGCATCCATGGCTCTCAGCATTTGACTTGTGACCAGAGAGGGGGGGAGGGGGTTTCTTCTCAATGTATACATTGCTACATATGTCCCAGTTTTGGAGCTCGGACAGTCTTGCACTAGACCAGTGGTAGCAAACCTCCGGCCCTCCAGCAGTGGGGGGAAACTACAAATCCCACGATGCATCTCTCTTCGGGAGTCATGTCTGCGGCTGTGAGAATCTTGCAATGCCTCATGGGATCTGTAGTTCCAAAATAGCTGGGGGGCCGGAGGTTCGCCACCACTGCACTAGAGTGTAGATATACAGGAAGTCCCCGGGGTTACAGACAAGATCGGTTCTGTAGGTTTGTTCTTAAGTTGAATTTGTATGTAAGTTGGAGCAGGTACATTTTTTAAGTGTAACTCCAGCCCCCCAATTATTTTAGGGCTTTTCCCCATAGTTCTCCTTAGGGACACAAACTAGCGTCCTCCCGTCACCCTAGGCTCAGTATATAGGGAGCTACAGCTCGCGGTATACTGAGACGCCGCAGCTGAAGCGGATCCCGACAATTGTGTCTGGATCCGCCCAGCTGCGTGAGTGACAGCTGGCTCTGCCTATCTAGAGGCAGAGCCAGCTGTACCCGCCCCCT